ATCTTTTCAGCTCTTCACCTGAGACTTCATATACTTGGGTCGAATAGTTTTAGTTACGACCCATCCCAATCAACCAGAATCCACTGTGTATGCATTCGCATTGCGATACAGAAAATATGAAATACTTTTTTAGAGTAATTTAATAGAAATCTAGCCACTAGCTACAGAAAAACGTCATCCTTTTTGCCTTTTACTATATTCGTACTTTAGCCAGTTGCTATAAATTTTGGTTTTCTTTTATCCTACGAACGTTAAAATTTGGCTTAGATCAAGAGTTGTGAACAAATGATTGTAGGTTGTTTGAGAGTGAAATTAAAAGAAATTGCGTATTTTTGAGTGCAAGTTAATTTAATTGAATGTCTAAATAGTGGTGAAATTGTGACAAAGCTTGCTGCAGGATTAACTGCTGTTGACTAGATAATATCACCGTTGAGCTCCTTTCCATTTCTGTAGTAGGCTCAACAATTGTAAATAGGTCTTTGCTCAGAATAAAACTTTTTTCGCATATGCAGCAATATGAACACACATAAATATGAAGAAAACATAATTATTAATATTTCATACTTCACGATAAAATCAAGGAGAAATAATAAATAAGATTTAATAACTATTTTAAATGATATTTTAAAATATACAATATCACACATGTAAAAAAAATTTTGTGCATATTTACATTTCATATCATCTTTGGGGAATCATATATCCTAACCAAACTTGATTATTTCCGGAGCTTGACGGCCTAGCGAGCTCTCGAAATACAATCAAGTCGTAGATCAACTAGCATAACCCATTATCCCGTCATTAGTTCGGTGAGTCCTCAATCTTATCTGCTTAGAGGCCGCAAGGATACTTGAGTCCTGGACATTCGATGCTCTAATGGACTCGTTTTATCCGCACACTCGTACCGTATGTGCCCTCACACTTTTCCAAATTCCTGTCGTTACCTTTCCCATCCTATATTTATTTCAACTTTTTGATGAATGACCAAAAAATCTTTTCCATCTACCCACTACTCGAACTTCTTACAACCTGGATGGACCAGTCGGCCAGCCAGGCGAGTGAATATCACTTTCGCAACCACATCCTCGTCTGTCTCGTCGGCCCCACCGCCGGAGGTCCAATCAACTTGTCCAGCTTTGTCATGCCGTTGCGCTTCCACTGGCTCGACATACAAGACATTGTCATCCTTGGCGATAGTAGTCTAATCAGCGACAATGAATGGATCAAATTGAAGAATTTTCCTAGATTCTTCATTATCAATGTAAGTTTATCTCTATTCGTCCCTTTACTCCTCTACATGCCCTCCTATTTGCACAACTCCTCTCCTGCTTTTTTATGCCAGTAGCCTCTGGAAGAGGCAGTTCTGGAGCTCTGTGGCTCAAAGGGTATGTTTGAAAGAATAGAGATTTAAAACATTGCTTCGATGTTTGGAATTTGGCCACTCTCTCGAGTCATGATGTGGCTCGGTCTGAGCATCACTTCTCATCCTCGAAGGAGGAAAACCTCTTTCACCACCAACCTCTTTCACGAGCCCACTACTAGTGGGGCCGCGAGATTTTGCCCAGTCGTCTAGTCAGTCTCGTTAGCTGTGTCATAATTAAACTCATAATGTACCAAGTCTCTGGAAATGATCATGCATACTATGGACTCCGGATGAGGTGCGTTTCTCTAGGGCTTTCTGCCAATATGACCAATTTGCGAAGCCAAGGTCAATCAACTTCTATACAATGAAAGAAGACCATGACCATACAAGAGACCACACCATCCTGATCTTCATATCTTCGATTAAACTCATCATATGAGATGTAGTCACCCAATTTCGTTTAGGTGATGAAGGACTGGTAGAAGAATTTTCCCACAATGATATGAGTTGAGCTGACGTCTCCATTGGATTTCACATAGCCTTGCTTTCCCAAAAGTTGTTCTCATCCGGGGTGGACTCGCATCGGTCTTATCAACACCCTCAACGGGAGTCGAACCGCGACAGTGCAGGATATGAAAGGCTATATGAAATTCAATGGAAACGCCAGCTTAACTTATATCATTGTGGGAAAATTCTTTTTCTACCAGACCTTTATTACCTTAAACGAAATTGGGTGAATACATCTAATATTACTGCGTTACTGGTAGTCTCGAAACAATACTTAATGCGAAAAATAAACTCATAATGTCTACGCCGACCAACTGACCGTTTAGCTCCGTTTGCATGTTACCACACTGTAGGAGTAGGCCCCGAATCAGTCTGCCACAGGAACTTTAGTCGTTGATTTGCAGACAAATCGTTAGGACAAAACCCCTACAGAAGAGCTTGCTAGATCTCTTAATGCTTTTTATTTAATTGTTAAATTATATATTTATATATATTTATATAAATCGAAGGCGTGGTGACCAGGATAATATGGTTTATATTTTGGTCATAATCCTCTTTTCTCTGTACAAAAGTGAGGTACCATCGTTTTCGTAACTTGGCTGTCTTACTAGTTCGACCTCGATTAACCCACCTGTCATAATATGCATGATAATTTGCATCCTTGGACAATGGACTTGGCAAATTTCCAGACTTCACCTGTACCTGACTCGTTATAACATAGTGTTAATGATGACTAGGCTCAATTATAGGGCCGACTTCGATGCTGCCAAAACTTCTAGGAATGTACCAATTCCACAGTATGGCGCTGGAAATGATCATGATTACTATGTCTCAAACAGATCGCCCTTATCACATGAAAAAACGAGATCAAACCACTTCTACATATATATTAATATATAGTTGCATATCAACACCATTTTTTAATGCTAGCTATTATCATTTATTAGTGTAAATTAAGCGAATAACCACATTTATTACATTTGTCCACTGTTGTAAGCTTACTGTCACCCATACAACCCTTTTTTCCATTTCATGCCTCCTTTCTAAAGCCTTGTTAGTGCGGTTATTTCAAATTTTTTAAATATATTCCAAATACACCTCCTCATTTGTCTAGAGCTTCAAAAATGTTATTTTTGATGTCGTTAAACAGAACCATTAGGCATTATGTGGTTCTTATACTTTGCTACCTTCCCAAGAGGTGAATGGTTCATTTTAAGCTATTCTTAATTTTTTTGGCTTTACTTCTTCTTTGATGATCCCAGACCCTCAGCTGGCTTTACAGTAGCTCTACAACAATAGCTGGAACAAGCGAAATATTCCTCTTCTACGGAGCTTGTGATGTATTTGGTGGTGATATATTTGGGACCGAAGTGATGCCAATTAATGTACAAAACCGGAGCCTGCAGAGTTAAAGATTAGGGTAGATAAGCGAGATGGAACGTTGAAAGCTGAAAAACCGCTTGTTGAATAATAAATTCTATTATGCTTGTTTATGAAGAAGATGCCAGAGTGTAACTTCTAACCGGCTGGTTCCCGATAGAAAGTCATCCTTGGAACGCCTAAAAATGTACCTTTTGGCACCCGAAACCTGAGGAAATTGCGAGGAAAGAAGATACTTGTGCCTGCCAGAACTTAGCCTGTCACCTTGTCATTGGAGAAGACAGCATTTTCTGACTCGTTTTTAAGAGTTCCTACTCAAATAGGGCGCCTTGGTTACAGGTTCTGGGGCTATAGCCCACTCTTTAAATGACACCATTGTTGGGCTTAATAACTGACTATCAACAGCTTACGACTGGATTGATCAGCTTCTCAAATGTTTCTTATCATACACAGAGGCAAAGCTTATCAAAATGTATCAACATTTTCTTTTTTTTCCGATACATTTCATTGCTTCGTACGAGAGTGGTTCAGTCTCATACAGCATTTGATACAATCTGATTGCTTAGAGTAATTTTAGCATAATCAATGATAGTATTTAATACTGCTTATAATACTACTACCTCTACTATCAAATAAGTGATAATAACGATAATGCACAATGGATAGTATATAATTAAGACAAAGATTCAACTATAGGAAATGGAAGAGGCAAAAAGAGGTGGGAAGGATGAGGGTAAGATTTCAGAGGCTTTACTATGCAACTGAAAGGTTTCACTGCTTCTGGAGGCAATTAATTCCGAGTCTTGTTCACGCATTGATTAGCATTTTACGAGTTTGATGCAGCCTACATTGGGATTCCAAATGGAACATCTTCACTACCAATGCATGCACATGTATGCACAATACTGATCTGCGCTTGAAATTGCATCGTTCTCGTCTCATTTTCAGTTCACATTCGAAGCTTGCTTGGATTTTTTTACAAAAAGACAATCTTATCTAAAAAGTCTATTTAAGATAAAGCCTATTTTAAAATTCTAAATGCTTGGAAATACGAAAGCAAGGAAATACGCTATTGCCATCCTGCCAAGAGTGCTGCAAAAGATGTCGACTCTGGTAATTAGACAAGCAATAAAAGGCTTTCCAAGCCCACTGATGGCATGGTTCAGATATTGTTTTTTTTCTAAGTATAAGCAAATACCATGCTTTTCTGATGGAAAACACAACTCCTACCACTAAATAGCCATCAAGGGACTTCGAAACTTCTTAACAATCCCTAAGCTCGAGACTCGACAGCGCCATTTATTAGCTTCAAAAAACCTTTTGGACTAATATGGTTCCCGCCTATTTTGCTCGACTGTAACATGGACGACATTCTGGTACGCTTTATTACTTTTGGTGAAAATAGCTCAGTTAATGGTAAGACAGATATACTATGGTGACCAAGGTACTGGACCATCAATATTTTTTCGTCCGTCTTCCAAGTTCAAAGTTACTGCATAAGCCGACTTACGATATGACAAGGACGTCCAAATGGAGAAATTTGCGACCCCAAGGGTCAACTTTGATTGGACATAATCTTTTCCATCTTACGGTGATTTGCATTTTTGGATGGATTTCTATTCCATAGAAGTGTAGGAGAGGACTCTTTGCAGGATTTCTCTCGGCTAGGTTGCTGCCTGCTTCACTTCATTTCCGTTTTGGATCATATAGGAAGTCAGGTTTACGCTTGTTTGTATTGCAATGGTTGGAATATCTGAAATAGAGGCTAGATAGATTGTGGAATGGGAAATTCGGTGCACTTGAAAATGCGTTCTTTTTGGGAGTATAGCTTGGAGACCTCAGTTTATGCTCTTAACTAGTAAAAGGCAATGAAAAAATAAAAAAGATTTTAGCTGATATTTGAATAATAGATCCACTGGTAGTTTCTAAACCCATTTATACTGAATAGATAGTTGGTACTGACTGACAGTTCTATTTGGAAAGCAATTACAGTATAAAAAATGAGTGATTTTAACCCCCAAAATTCTACCGGGACAGACGATGATGATGGTAATGACGACGATGAGTACGCCTACTGGCCTTCTTATGCTTGCCTCAGTTTTCTATCTTTATTTTTTCATGAGATACAGGCCCTTTGGAGGATTTCGGTCAACCTGCTTTCTTTTCTTTCTATCGCATACTACCCCGGGGACAGAAAAGTGTTATAGAATAGGCCTATTGACGATATCCTGGGTGATCTATGGGCTAGCTTGAATTGATTCTAGAGCATCTACTGTGAAAAGTTGTAAATTTGCATAAAATGTAATTTTTGTTCTAAGAGAACTTTCGGACCTCAGCCTCTAGAGATTAGCTCGCATTTGGTGCAGTGTATTGGGACATACAGGATTGGGCTCCAAGTTCACCTCGATGAAGGGGAAATCGACGAATCGCATCAAAATGTATTATT